ACCTGGGCACCCCACCCTTGGACAATAGAGGCAGAGCCCCAGGTCCAAGCTTCCTCTCTTCCTTTCTACCCTTGACCTGCTATGCGGCCCTTGGCATGCCTTGTACCCTCCCGGACCTGTGAGTAATAAATCTTGTTCTTCGAAATTTGCTGATGGTTTTTGCCAAAGTGCAACTTGCAGTCGTAGTAAGAACTACAAGAGCCAGGAGCACCCGGGTGGCTCAGTTGGTCAAGGGTCTGACTCTTAATCTCAGCTCAGGTCTTGATCTCAGGGTTTTGAGTTTAAGCTACAGGAGCCAACCCAACCATGAACATTGGCTCTGTGGGGCTCACCACAAGTAGTATGGCCCAGGCGAGTACCTCAGGCATTTCTAGCTGTAGCCTCATTTTCAATAGGCTGAGACAGACATAGGAGCCTTGTTACTATCCAACTGAGAAATAGTTTGTAATGTTTCTCCTTTTCTACCCAAAGAATTAGTGTTGGACTTTCCCTGCACACCAGCCTATTTTCCTTTCATCTACTCCGCCTAAAGTCACCCCCTTGGTAATCTCATCCAGTCTCATCTTTTCAATACCTCCTAGGAAATTACAAACTAAAGTTTTCAGACTTACTTTTCTGTCAACATTACTCTCGAAAGTTCTAGAGATGTGCCTGCTGCCTTGACAGCTATATTCACATGCTTAACAGGCATCTCGTACTTAACAATGTTGGTATCTCAATTCCTGATCTTCCCTCCTAACCCATTTCTGCTGCTCTCCCACAGTCTCAGCTGATGGCAGGTCCCTTATCCTGTTCATGCATGAAGTTTGGGAGTCCTTTTTACACCTTTCTTATGTTCATGCCCTATTCTGCAACCCAGCTGAAAATCCTTTAGGGATTAAAAGAAATAACCAGAATATATCAAGTGTCTAATGACACTGTATCCAGGACCACTCCAACTTTGATTGCAGACCTCATTCCCTCTCACCTAGATGTCTGTAATAAGTCATCTAGCTAGTCATCCATCGGCTTCTCACCTTACCTCTCTCCAGTTACTCAGCTCACCTTCTCTTCATTTCTCATTCAGGCACTTAGCACGATGTTCCAGTTTCTGTCATGATTCCTCTATCAATCTGAGTAAAATGGAAAGTTTTTCCAGTGGCCTACAGTGCCTTTCATGATCCCACGTACCTTCTACCAAGCTGTTCCTCACTCACACGCTTTTGGTTGCATTAGCTTTCTTACTCTAACTGGAACATGAAAGGTATGCACTGGCTCAAGGCATTTATTCTAGTTGTTTCCTCTGTGGAACACAAGGCTATACACATGGTTAACCCCATATTCTTTTACTTATTTTTTTAAGATTTTATTTATTTATGTGACAGAGAGACACAGCGAGAGAGGGAACACAAGCAGGGGAGTGGGAGAGGGAGAAGCAGGCTTCCTGTGGAGCAGGGAGCCCGATGCGGGGCTCGATCCCAGGACCCTGGGATCATGACCTGAGCCAAAGGCAGGCCCTTAACGACCCTGGGATCATGACCTGAGCCACCCAGGCACGCCCCCCACATTCTTTTATTAATGGAGCAGCCTACTCAACTCTCTTTTTTTTTCCAGCTTTATTGAGGAATAGTTGACAAACCCTCTTCAATATCACAACCTGTCTGCACTCTCCTGCACTTCTCATTGTTGTTACCCTGTTTTCTATTTCAAAGCACCTATCCCCTTAAAAGACACTATGTTGTTTATATTTACTTTTATTATTCTGATTAATATCCTCAATATGATTATAAGCAACATGAGATAGGGTTTGTTGTCTTGTTTCCTGAGACATAACACACCAAAAAGACTAACACACCAATATGCTCAATAAATGTTTATTGAAATAAAAAAAATGAGACACCACTGCCTCCTTGTTCATCTTTACTACACTGGAAATGTTTTCTTAATTCTTTCCCTGTGTCTCCCTCAAATCTGGTAATTTTAGGTATCCACAAGGATTTTGAAGACATCACATTTGGAGACAAACCCTCAGGATAGCCAGGAACCCAGAACGCAGTCTGCTCACAGAAGGTCCTTTGCTCACCTGCTATTGATATTTAAATTATCTCAATAATTAAAGATATGTATCCTCCCTGGTATTTCTGGCACTTTTTATGGGTAACATTAACATCAGTAGCATTCAGGGACTTGCACATTTTGCAAATGTTTTGCAGAGATCATCTCAACTCTTCATGTAGATGCAGTCATAGCAATTAGAGGTGAAATGATAATAACTTCCCAGAAAGAGATGAGATCACAGATACAGAGACTTCTATCTCAGGGCTCATATATTCATTTTCTACACGTGCATGGATACAACCATGACAACCACCATCCTGGCAGCAAGTGACAATTTGGTAAGTGCTATTTCCAGATAAGTGTCAAATTATAAGAATAGAACATTATGCAAATCATAAATAAATATTATCTTGAAAATCAATTCTGCTTGTTTGGGTTGGGACATAAATACAAAAAGAGGCACTGGGATGGTTTCTGAGGGACCCAGAGACATGTCACCCTTGTCTACTTTAGGGGTACCTACTTTTCCATGTTCTCTCTGATAGCCTGAGTCCATCTTTCATCTCTGACCAAATTGATCCTCACAATACCAGTCTGAAGCCTCCACTATGCATGAAGTGAAGATCAGTAAGAAGGTGTGTTTATTTTTTTTTAAGATTTTATTTATTTATTTGACAGAGACAGAGCAGGAACACAAGCGGGGGGAGTGGGAGAGGGAGAAGCAGGCTTCCCGCGGAGCAGGGAGCCTGTTGTGGGACCCGATCCCAGGACCCTGGGATCGTGACCTGAGCTGAAGGCAGAAGCTTAATGACAGACACCCAGGCGCCCAAGAAAGTGTGTTTAACTCACAGCTACTGAGTATTCTTTTAGCATTTCTATAGCCATTATTGACACATTTTTTTTTCATCTCCAGGCATAATTTGCTAATGGAAGTTGGTAGGAATATTTTTTTCAACCCTTTTTTGATGTTTTCCCAGAGCTATCCTGCCACTACCTTTGAATGACTACATAATCATTATTAATGGTTTTCAGTGATTTTCATTTCACAACTCTTTCTGAGATAATTGCAACTCCTCATACAGACACCCTCCCTGCAATAACAGTAGGAATGATAATAACTTCCCATCAAATGGATGAGATCTTGGTGTCCTAAAAGCTTACCTCATGGTATCCCCTTTGCACATGTGCTCCTATATTGGGAACACTGTAGACACTGTCCTATTCCAAAATGACATTTGGTAAGTGGCTCTTTAAATAGTTGTCAGATTCCTAAAAGGAACTGATGTATCTAAGGCTATGGAGTAAGAAATACGGATATAAAACCCATGTTCCTCCGAGTTGGACACGATCACCGAGAGTCATTTTCTGTGGGAACCCAAAACACAGTTCCACCTTTGTCCTCCTGCTTTACAGCAGCCTAACATCCCTTCCGTATCTTCTCTGTTCTGTCCCTGTGTGGAGTCTTTTTCTTTTTGTTCTTGACCCGGCATACTGAAATTCACAAAACTGACTCTAAACGTTTCAAGCTAGAGGCACTTGAAAAAAGATAAACCATTAGGTGGATAAATTTTGTGTCTGAATGACTCTGTAGAACAGATTTATAGTCATTGGGAGCATCTGAAATAACACACTGAGAATTCAGGAGAATGCTAAAGCTTCCAGAAGGCTGAAGTAATGTCTCTAAACACAGGCTGAAATAATGTCTCTAAACACTTGATCTTACTCAGAAGGCCGAGAAGCGAGAAGACACAGGTGATCAGTGGCAGACAACACTCCTCGGAAATCTTAAGTGCAGCCCCTTAAAGGAGAGAAGGCCCTCCCCCACCCCTGGAAGCTGGAGACACCACCTCTCAGTATCTCTCCCTCTCAGTTCTTTCCCATGGGTTTCCCGGTGAGCGACGCCAGCGCCAGGGCTTTTCGAGCTGTGAGAACTACATTACCCAGGGGACGCTGAGCCGGTCGCCGTCGGCGTGTAGCTAAGAAGGCTCCCGAGAGAGGCGCCTGGGTGGCTCAGTTGGTTAGGCGACTGCCTTCGGCTCAGGTCATGATCCTGGAGTCCCGGGATCGAGTCCCGCATCGGGCTCCCTGCTCAGCGGGGAGTCTGCTTCTCCCTCTGGCCCTCTTCCCTCTCGTGCTCTCTATCTCTCATTCTCTCTCTCTCTCAAATAAATAAATAAAAATCTTTAAAAAAAAAAAAAGAAGGCTCCCGAGAAGGGCAACTTCGTGCGTGCGCATGACGTCGGGGCGGGACTTCCGGCGTCCTCGTCGTGGGGGTTGTTTTGGCTACTCTTAGGTCTGTTCGCTGAATCACACACTCTGATGCGCCGGTGGAGACTGAGGTAACAGGACCGGGAAGGCGCGAGAGGAGGCGCTGTCCCCTGGGGTCCGCGGCTGGCGACGCCGCCCGGGCTGCCCTGCGCCGGGACGGGGACCGCGGGTCCGGGTGTCCGCTCCGCCCACCGAGTCCGACGGCGGCGGCCGCGCCCAGGGAGCCGCCGCAGGTAAGCGCTCGTCCCCCGGGCCCTCCCCGCCGTCCCCCCACCCAGACCCCGGAGGCCCGAGCGGCTCGCGGCCCTGCGGCCCAGGCCCCGGCGTCGGACGGGGCGGCGGCGCTGGGCGGGGGCCCCGTGTGCGAGCGCCGGCGTGCCGGCGTGAGGAGCGGGCTCCGGGCCGGGGGGCCTGAGGCGGGAGGAGGCCGGAGGGAGGCTGGAGGGGGCCTGAGGCGGGAGGAGGCTGCCCGCAGGCGACAGCGCGTGAGGCGGGGTCGCGCCGGGACTGGCGGGCCGAGGTGCGTACCTCTGTTCCGAGGGCCCTGGGGGGTCGTCAACAGAAGAGGGACACAGTCAGTGTTAGGGTGTTAACGGCTTTCCAAAAGCTGCTCGAGGGAGTGAACAGGTTGGGACGGGGGTGAAGAAGACAGAGAGGCCCCGGAAGTGGAGTTCTTGTCTAAGGTCGCAGAGCTGGTGGGAGCACTGCGGACTGAAGCACAGAGGTTAGCCTGAGGTCACTGGGTTCCAGGGCTGGGTGAGATGCAGGGGAGCCTGGAGCGCATGGAACCCTGCCATGGTCACCTGCTTCTGGCAACTTTCCTCTTCATACAGATTGTTACCAGTGCAGAAGCACTTAGGGAACCCCCAGAGGTGAGTGAGTGGATGGTGTTCCGGAACCTCGCTGGTCCTGATCCCTCTCATGATCTCTGTGATTGTGGTGTCCTGGAGCTCTTCACTTACCATTCTTCCAGGCCTTGGGCCTGGGGACCTGGAACAGATTGTAAGCCCAGGGTCCTCAGATCCGGCTGGAGGTTATATGGAGTGGTTCCTACTGCTGGCAACCAAGAGAGTGAGGTGTGGAGGAAGGTTGCCCCAGCATAGGTACCTGTGTGTGCAGACCCGTGGAGGGGAGACTGAGCTGAATAAGGGAACCTCAGTGTCCTTTCTTGTGGGAACAGAGAGCCAGGGGACAGGAGCCAGACCTGGATGACACCCTGAGAAGTTGGGTGTCTATTCTGGAGGTGATGGGAACAACGGGAGGCTTGGAGCAGTGGAGGGATCTGATCAAGCTCTTACGGGGCTTCCTGTGATTGCACCATGGAGAACAGACTAGGGGTGTGAGGAAAGTGGCAGGAAGACCAGGGAAGAGGGTACCTCAGTAGTCCAGTGAGTGTTGATGATGTGGACCAATGCGGTGGCCTTGGAGGTAGAAAAAGTGGCTGGATTCTGAATCAAGTTTTTTTTAGTAGATCTGCATTTTCTGATTTTGAAGGTGAGAGAGAAAAAAGTAGAAGTCAGGGGTGACTGCAAGATCTTTGGTTTATCAGCTGGAAGGCTAGAAGCTCCAACTGGGATGTAGAAGTCGGTGATAGGATTAATTTTCCTTCAAGATACTAGTATTGTTTTGGCCATGTTAAGTATATGAGATGTTTCAGAGAACAAATGAGTAGAAGTAGAAATGGGTAGCTGGATGCACTGGTCTGCAAAATGTGGACCAGGATGGAGCTGTGTTTCTTAGCTTGGGCAGCTAAAACAAAATACCTTTATTTCTCAGAGTTCTGGAAGCCAGGAAGTCCAAGATGAAAGTGTTGGCAGCTTCATTTCCTGGTGAGAGTCTCTCTTCCTGTCTTGCTGATGGCTACCTCCTCACTGTATCCTCACATAGCCTTTTGTTGGTGCAAACAAGTGAAGAGAGCAGGAGATCTATCTTTCTCTCCTTAGAAGGGTCCCAGCCTCCGAATCTAAACCTCCCAAAGCCCCAGCCTCCAAATACCATCACACTGGGGGTCAGGGCTCCAACGAATGAATTTTGGGAGGGTGCATACACTCAGTCCATAATTGCTGTGGATCACATTTAGGAAGGGTAATCTCCGCCATGATGATGTAAATAGTAGTCCAGAAAGGGGAGGGCGGGATCAGAGGCCTGGGTCTCCTGCTTGGTCACCTATGTGTGGAGTGGCAGACATCATAAACACAAGTGAAAGAGAGAAGTGGTGGTGGGAACAGTGTAGAAGTGGATGAGATGGCCACTATGTACAGATGGCCAAGGCTTCTGAGGGATGAGATCCACCTGCACGTGAGGTGGATGCAGAGGCATAGGGGTAGTGGAGGCAGTGAGGCCAGGACTGCTGCTTATTCACTGCTCTGGGGTCACCAGGATTTTGTCATGACCTTGGTGTGTCTAGGGAGTTTCAGCCAGGCACGTGGATTAGCTCAGGGGCCACGTGGTCATGTAGGAGAATTGCTGGACCTGGGGTGGAAGGTCTCTGGCACTGGTTTTGAATGAGGGTTAGGAAGAGAGAGGAAGGCTTGACAGGCGAGAGCCCATCAAGTGCAGCACAAGTGGAGGAGGGTCATGGGTGTCTGAGATCCATAAGTGGTTCTGAGTGGCTGAGGTTGAAGCAAGGAATAGTCAGGCAGGGAGACCTGTAGAGCAGGATTCTGGGCTGCCTCTGCCACTGGAGATGGGGTAGTTCTAGATCCTGTTTGAATTTGCCAGCACTCTCTATGCCATGTGCTGAATAACATGGAGCAAGGAGAACTGGGGGAGGGAGTGGGAAGTGAAGGCCCGAGGGCCCTGGCATTGAGGACCTCAGGGTGAAATGGTAGCCCACACCCTTAGTTATGTCTGGGAGGTATGATCTGGGGGATCCTAGCAGAATTGCTTAACGAGAAAGTATTTCCCTGCAGGCCAGGCCCAGAGCGTAGGTATCGCTAACTGCCCACCTGCCTGTGGCTGCTGGGGGTGGGTATAGTGATCAAACGGGGACCAGGAGGAGAGAGTGGGCATCAGTGGCATCAGGGCATCTCTTCTCTCAGATGGGGACATGAGGTGGGTGAGCAGGGGAAGAATGAGTGGGTAGATGAACTTGGGGTCCTAGGAGAGAAGCTGATTATGGAATGAACCGTCCCATTATTGGCAGAGTTGTGTGACCTTTGAGGACGTGGCCGTGTACTTCTCCCAGGAGGAGTGGGGGCTCCTTGATGAGGCTCAGAGGCTCCTGTACCACAGTGTTATGCTAGAGAACTTGGCGTTTAACAACATCCGTGGGTAAGGCCTTCATTTTCCTCTCAGTATCCTGAACTGTCTTTCTCCCTCTCCCAGAACCAAACTTGGGCTTCTAACTTCCCCACTTCCTTGGCATATGTGTTATGGGTGCCCATGCTAAGCTGTGTGCCCTGTCCCATGCAATGCATTCTTCAAGCAGCCCTAACACCTGCAACCCCATAGTGTACAGGGGAAGGTCTAGGAGTCTGGAGTCTGGCAACCACTGTAATGGATCTCACTTCATTCACTCTCTCCCGGGCGGGATGACTGTGTCCAGATCAATGGCACCTTGTGCCCCAGGTTTTGCCCCTTCTTTTTATTTTATTTATTTATTTGACAGAAAGCATACAAGTGGGGGGAGAGGGAGAAGGAGGCTCCCCGCTGAGCAGGGAGCCTGATGCGGGGCTCAATCCCAGGACCCCGAGATCATGATTTGAGCCAAAGGCAGACACTTAACCGACTGAGCCACCCAGGTACCCTTGCCCCTTCTTTTTTTTTTAATTGAGTTGTAATTGACAACATGTTAGTTTCAGGTGCACAGCATAATGATTTGATATTTGTATATATTGCAGAATGCTTACCACATTACATTTGATTAGCATTCATCACCATACAGAGTTCCAAATATTTTTTTCTTGTCATGAGAACTTTTAAAGATTCCTTGTGATTGCCTATATCAGGAATTGTAAGCATTGTCATGGTCACTATTTACGTGGTCCATAGACCTTTCTTTTTCTTTCTTTTTTTTTTTTTTTTAAGGATTTACTTATTTTAGAGAGAACGCGTGTGCATGAGGGCTTGACGGGAGGGGCAGAAGGAGAGGGAGAGAGAATCTTAAGCAGACTCCCCGCTGAGCATGGAACCCAACGCAGAGCTTGATCTCATGACCCTGAGATCTTGACCTGAGCAGAAACCAGGAGTCAGAGGCTTAACTGACTACGCCATCCAGGCGCCCCCTGTGTGGTCCATAGACCTTTCTTGAAAGACTCTCTTTTGAGACTTTATTGTAATGTTCTTTCCTGTCTTCTGATGTTGCCTGAGTTGCTCTGGTCCAGTGCTGACCACTCACCTGTGCTCTCTTTCCCTAAGGACTTGCTTCATTCGGGTCCCATTTAGTTACACAACTGGGAGTCTGGGGAGCACCCTGCTTGCTTCACAGGGTGAACATGGCAGGATGGTCTCAGAGGAAGCCTGGCCCTGGTGAGTGGCAGCTGGTGGTGGGCGGGTGGGCATGACATCAGGGCTGTGTTCAGAGCATACCAGGAACCTGCCCTGTGTCCACCAGTGTTTTGGTGCATTGCCACTGGACACATCATCTACACTGTTTTCTATGTACTTGACACTTTTCTGATTCTGAGTGACATTTCATCTGTGACTTCCATTCCCTGGCCGTCCCCAGGTTTCTGACCTCCATGTATCATTTGTTCCTCTCCACTGCATGGTCTGCTGTTCTCCCACACATAATGTGTTGTGAGGTATGCACATAGCCTTAAACCCAGATACTCAGTCCCACTTGTATTTCCCTTGGCCTGGACACAACCATTATTCTGTGTAGCGCGGACTTGTCCCCAGACAACAAGTTCCTGCTGAAGGCTGTTGGAGAGGAGTGAATCCGTGATTCTGCCTCCCCTCCCTGTGTTGCACCCCATCCTTGTGCCCTTTGTCTCAAAAGGTCTCCCTCATTCTCTTTAGAGGCCCAGTACTGCAAAGCAGCCCTCCCTTCACATTGCTGCCTCATTCTGAAATTACTCCCATGGATTAAACATTTTATTTATTTATTTGAGAGAGAGAGTGAGAAACAGCATGAGACGGAAGAGGGTCAGAGAGAGAAGCAGGCTCCCCGCTGAGCTGAGAGCCCAATGTGGGACTTGATCCCAGGACTCCGGGATCATGACCTGAGCCGAAGGCAGATGCTTAACCAGCTGAGCCACCCAGGCGCCCCTGTAACACACATTCTTGATGGGACTTCACTCTCTGCAAAGTTAAAATATACTGTATCAGTATTTCTCTACTTTCACATTGTTGGTTTGGAGCAGAGGATGAGGAAGTACCTTCTGAGCAGAGCGTTTCTGTTAGGAGGAGTATCACAGGTCAGGACTTCTAAGGCAGACTCATCAATCCAAAAGACTCATTTCTGTGAGAATTGTGTCCCAGTATTTTTTTTTAAGATTTTATTTATTTTTTGACAGAAACACAGCGAGAGAGGGAACACAAGCAGGGGGAGTTGGAGAGGGAGAAGCAGGCTTCCGCTGAGCAGGGAGCCCGATGTGGGGCTGGAGCCCGATGTGGGGCTCGATCCCAGGGCCCTGGGATCATGACCTGAGCCAAAGGCAGATGCTTAACTCCCTGAGCCACCCAGGCGTCCCTGTGTCCCAATATTGAAAGATGATTTGCACCCTTCTGAGCCAAGCAGCATGTTCTGGGCAGAAGTCATACTTGGGTGGGGCATCCAGAGGCTTCTGGTTTGGTGCAAACCTTCACCAGTACCAAAAGCATGACAGTGGAAAGAAAATCTTCAAAATAGATGTGAACAGTACCTTGTTTGTGATAAGCTGCAGATTCCGTGTATCAGGGAAGCCCTTCACCTGTGGGGAGTGAGATCTTGACCTGAGCAGAAACCAAGAGTCAGATGCTTAACTGACTACGCCATCCTGTGGGGACTGAGATCTTGACCTGAGCAGAAACCAAGAGTCAGATGCTTAACTGACTACGCCATCCACGTGCCCCCTATGTGGTCCATAGACCTTTCTTGAAAGACCCTTTCTTTCCAGCTACCTCAGGCCTTCTCCAGCACCCGGACACTCCCAGTGGTGAGAAGCCACAGTGCAGCATTGAGTGTGGGGAGCCCTTTAACAGTGGAATAAGTCACAAGTGGATTGAATACAGGACAGTTTTCAGTAGCACTTACACCCTTCACCACCAGTGATTCCACACTGGAGAAGGTCTTGATGAATTTAGCAAATGTGGAAAAGCCATCAGCTACAAATACAGACCTCTTCAGCACCAGCAAATTCACGCTGGGAAAGAGCTTACAAGTGTAGTGAATGTGGGAGATTCTTTAGCCACAAAACCCATCTCATTTGACACTGGCGAGTGCACACTGGAGCAAATCCTTATGAGTGCATAGAATGTGGCAGATCTTTTAGCCAGAAATCTGACCTCATTCAGCACTGGAGAGTTCACATACAACATGGTAATGTATAAACACTTAGGAAACCATCACTGTTATCAGTGATGATGAGCATGTCCGTCACCTGCATCTTTTCCTTATTCCCTTTTATAATCTCTCCTTTACTCTCCAGGCCACCTTTGATTTACATTCCTTTACAACTGATTGCATTTTCTAGAATTTTATGATTGATCATAAAGTGTTTACTCTTTTTTTCTGTTTTCTTGACACTGCTTTGAGATTCATAAATGGTGCTTATAGGACTATTTAATTCTTATGCTTTTTCTTTCATGTGTCGTCAACAATATTTATCCATTCATCAGTTTATGGATATTTTGGTTATTTCTACTGTTCAGCTATTGGAAATAAAGCTGATGTGAAAATTTGTTTATAATTCTTTATATGGTTATATGTTTAATTTCTCTTATATTAATGACTCAGTGCACTGTCTGAGTCATAGGGGAGGTAAATATTTAATTTTTTTTTAAAGATTTTATTTATTTATTTGAGAGACAGAGAGAACGAGAGATAGAAAGCACGAGAGGGAAGAGGGCCAGAGGGAGAAGCAGACTCCCTGCCGAGCAGGAAGCCTGATGTGGGACTCGATCCCGGGACTCCAGGATCATGACCTGAGCCGAAGGCAGTCGCTTAACCAACTGAGCCACCCAGGCGCCCAATATTTAACTTTTTAAAAAATACTGCCAAACTGTAATCTAAAATGGTTGTGTCTTTTTGTACTCCCACCAGCAGTGTGTGAGACTTCAAATTCCTTCACACCCTTGTCAATGCCTGGTAAGATGACTTTTTAATTTTACTGTTCTAAAATAAGCATTGGGGGCACCCGGGTGGCTCAGTTGGTTAAGCGACTGCCTTCGGCTCAGGTCATGATCCTGGAGTCCCTGGATCGAGTCCCGCCATCGGGCTCCCTGCTCGGCGGAGAGTCTGCTTCTCCCTCTGACCCTCCCCCCTCTCATGTGCTCTCTCTCTCTCTCATTCTCTCTGTCTCAAATAAATAAATAAATAAATCTTTTAAAAAAATAAAATAAGATAAGCATTAGTATCTCATTCATTTTAGTTACATTTCCGTATGGATTTATGATGTTGAGCATTGTTTCATGTATTTGCCATCTATTTATCTTTTTTTAAATATTTTATTTATTGGAGAGAGAAAGAGAGCACAGCACAAGCAAGGGGAGCAGCAGGCAGAGGGAGAGCAAGAGGGAGAAGTAGGCTTTGCACCGATCAGGGAGCCCCATGTGGGACTCGATCCCAGGACCCTGGGATCATGACTTGAGCCAAAGGCAGACACTTAACCCACTGAGCCACCCAGGCGCCCCTCTATTTATCTTTAATAAATGCCTATTCTCCTCGGGCTAGTTTTTATTTTATGAAATTTGGTTATTTTCCCCTTTTTTTAAAAAAATTTTTTATTTATTCATTTGAGACACAGAGATAGAGAGAGAGCATGAGCAGGGAGAGAGGGAGAGGGAGAAGCAGGCTCCCCGCTGAGCCAGGAGCCCAATGCGGGGCTTTGATTCCATGACTCTGAGATCATGACCTGAGCCGAAGGCAGATGCTTAACCATCTGAGCCACCCAGGCGCCCCGGTTATTTTCCCTTTAATAACACGTAAGATGATGAAACAACAAAGACTTAATATTGGAATTTTATTTGTTCAGTAATGTGAGCAACTTCTTTGTTGTGTGGAATGATTGTTTTTGAATACTGGAAGAATATTCTGTCATTTTTTTTTCTTCAGTTTTTCTTGGGGGCATGTACAATGTAGTGGCTACCTATACCATTTAGTAGCATATTTTCCATCACTTTCTGGGTGTAGGCATTTGATATATTCGGCAATATATCAATAATAAATTAAGCCCTAGTTTGCAGCATTTGCCAACTTCCTTGGTGTAAGTTCTCCCACAATGGCCAGTTTCAAACCGCCAACATGATGTCACCGAACACGAAGTTGGGACGAGTTGGCAGTAGTACAACTTTTTGTTTGAAGCACATTCTCTTTTCACCCTGTTGATACGGTAGCCACAGATAACCTCAAGAACATATGTGATAAAACAGTAGAATGATAAGGGAGTGATGCTATTTGAGTATTTATAACTTAAAGTTTGATATGTAATTGACAAATACACATATTTGAAATGTATATTTTGATGTTTTGAGTCATAAAAACTAAAGTTTCGGTGCACCTGGGTGGCACAGTCGTTAAGTGTCTGCCTTCAGCTCAGGTCATGATCCCAGGGTCCTGGGATCGAGCCCGCATCAGGCTCCCTGCTCAGCGGGAGCCTGCTTCTCCCTCTCCCACTCCCCCTGCTTGTGTTCCTTCTCTCGCTGTGTCTCTCTCTGTCAAATAAATAAAATCTTTAAAACAAACAAACAAAAAACTAAAGTTTCCATGTGCCCTTTTTAAATTTGTTCTTCCCAGCATATAGAATTACTGATATGAGGACATATTCTACCTTTTGAATAATAATGGCTACTTTCAAATATAAACAGAAGTGGAAAAGACTCTCATGGAGCCTCAGTCTTCCATTGTTATTTATGGTCTTTCTGGTTTCATCTTCCTTTATACATATTAGTGGGCTATTTTACCCATGAAACATAGACATCATGTTTTTTAATGCATACTGAAGAATGCTTTTCTAAAATGTAAGAGCTTTTTCATAATGCTAATAACTTTCTCCCAGAATAAAAATATTTTAAATTATAAATATGAAAAAGTCAATGATGAATTTTATCAGTTTTCTCAAAAATGTCTTTTTTCTTTAAGGTAGAGACTAGTTACAGGGGCACCTGGGTGGCTCAGTCGTTAAGCATCTGCCTTCCACTCAGGTCATGATCTCAGGGTCCTGGGATCGAGCCCCGCATCGTGCTCCCTGCTCGGCGGGAAGCCTGCTTCTCCCTCTCCCATTCCCCCTGCTTGTATTCCCTCTCTTGCTGTGTCTCTGTCAAATAAATAAATAAAACCCTTAATAAAAAGGTAGACTAGTTACAATCAGGATACAAAATACGGGGCACCTGGGTGGCTCAGTCGGTTGAGTGTCTACCTTCAGCTCTGGTCATGATGCCATGGTCCTGGGATCGAGCCCCACATTGGGCTCATGCTCGGTGGGGAGCCTGCTTCTCTTTCTCCCTCTGCCACTCCCTGTGCTTGTGCTCTCTTTCTCTCAAGTAAATAAATAAAATCTTTTCTTAAAAAAAAACAAAAGGATACAAAATGTGTTTTGTCGGTCTGTTAACCTATAGGTGCCACATCTCTTTTTTAGTATTTACTTGTTGAAGTGATGAGCCGTGTGTCCATTACAGTTTGCAGCATTCTAGCTTTGGCTCCCTGTATCTCATAATATGCTGACCCTTCCCCCAAATTTCCTGTGCACTAGATATCAATGAATGATGAGTCCCAGCAGATGGGTGTATGGTGGTGGCACCACCTGGAAACACATTCAGGTATTCGATGGGATGGATGCGTGGCGATGACACTGCAGTGCAGCCTGGGGACACACACACACTCAGATACAGGGAGCCCTGTCTGGCAGGCGTGTGATACTGACTCCCCTTAGCACATCCTGGGGAGACCTGACATATACTCTGGGAACGTGCGTGACAAATGTGCAATGCTGACATCCTCAGCATTGCATGGACATGCATGCAGACACTATGTCCACAACACTGATGGTGTGTGACAGATGTGAGGCACACACAGCTGGTATATGTAAAACTCACTGGGGACCTGAGAGGTAGACATGAGGTCTTGACACCTCCTAGCAAGTACGGGGACACAAATTGCACAGACACCCCACAGAGACTCGGGACAGGCATGGTATAGGGACACTACTGAGTCTGGTATGTGGGCCACACAGTCATTGTACGGCCCCCCTGGACCAAGTACAATATGGCAGGGGCACCCTGGTTTGGAGGGAACAACCCTCTCCTCTGTCACTGCACGTTTGACAGTGCACTGAAGGAGGCAGAGGAGGCGCCTTTATAGTCATCCCTGTTTCCTTAAGGCCTGGGTCACAGTCCTCAGGTAGGGGAGATGGTTTTAAATAATTTTTTTTTTTAAAGATTTTATTTATTTATTTGAGAGAGAGAGAGCACGAGAGGGAAGAGGGTCAGAGGGAGAAGCAGACTCCTTGCTGAGCAGGGAGCCCGATGTGGGACTCGATCCCGGGACTCCAGGATCATGACCTGAGCCGAAGGCAGTCGCCTAACCAACTGAGCCACCCAGGCACCCGGGGAGATGGTTTTAGAGGGCGTGCTGACATGGCATCAGGTGGCATAGGTGGGCATTCTGGGAGCCAGTCCTTCTTTCCCTTCTCTTCCTGACTGGCATCAGGAGGAAGTCTTGGTTTAGTGGTGAATCTGTATGCCCCCCTAAATATTACTGACTTCCCCTTTGGCAAACAGGGAGCAGTCCTAAGCAGGCCCCATGAGTTTGCTAGGATGTAATAGCATTATTTTGATTTTATTGTTGTGTTTTCATGGTAACCTATCCTTTATGGCAAGGAAAACTTTTCCCCATTTACCAGAAAGATGTAAAGACTACAATAATTTAAGAAAAATAAATTGTGGAGCGCCTGAGTGGCTCAGATGGTTAAGCAACTGCCTTCGGCTCAGGTCATGATCCTGGAGTCCCAGGATCGAAGCCCGCATCAGGCTCCCTGCTCAGCGGGGAGTCTGCTTCTCCCTCTGACCCTCCCCCCTCTCATGCTCTCTATCTCTCAATCTGTCTCTCTCAAATAAATAAATAAAATCTTTAAAAAAAAGAAAAAAATATCAGTTTAAAGAGAAGAAATTATTTTTCTTTAAGATCTATTTATTTTGAGAGAGTGAGTGAGTGGGGTGATGGGCAAGGGAGAGGGAGAGAATTTCAAGCAGACTCCCTGCTGAGTGGGGAGCCTGATGCAGGGCTTGATCCCAGGACCCTGAGATTATGACTTGAGCCAAAATCACGTTGGCTGCTCAACCAACTGAGCCACCCAGGCGCCCCTAGGGAAGAAATTATTAAAAAAACAAAAAAACAGCTAACATCCCCTGAACACCAACCACATGTCTGGCCTGTTCAGGGCCCCAGTAATTCCTCACTCAGTTAATCCTCCCCATATCTGTCACCTCAGCCAAGTAAGGAATATGCGCCCACTGCAGGAAATGCCTCACATCTGAGCTCACACACTATAGATGACATGCCTCTGGCTTTGGTGGTAAGGGTTCTTTAGGAGTGTTGGAAGTGTTTTTGGAAATGTTGGGAAGTGGACGATACTTGGTGTCTGGGTAAATGTGTTTATTTTATTCAGTATAGATTAGTTTGCCTTTTTTAAAATTTCACATAACTCTAATCCTTACTCCTTGTGTGGCTTCTCTTATGTGGCACAGTTATATTTTGGCATTTATCTCTGTTGTGTCATGAATAGTTAGGATTTTTTTTTTTAATTAGTATACTATATAGATATATATTTTATACTCTACAAATGTAACACCATTTGTTTATCCATTCATCTGTTAATTAACATCTGGATTGTTTTTCAGTTCTTGGTTTTTACAGATAAAGCTGCCACAGATGTTTACGTGAAGTCTTCATGGAAATATGTTTCGTTTCTTTTGAGTTCATACCTAGGAGTAGAGTGTCTGAGTCAGGGGGTAGGTAGATATTTCTCTTATTAAGAAACTGCCGAACTGGGGCACCTGCAGGGTGGGTGGCTCTGTTAAGCATCTGCCTTTGGCTCAGGTCACGATGATCTTGGGGTCCTGGGATCGAGCCCTGCATCGGGCTCCCTGCTCAGTGGGGAGTCTGCTTCTCCCTCTCCCTCTGCCCTGCTTGTACACTTTCTCTCTGTCCTTTGCTGGTTAAGTAGTCATTCCAGAGGGCAGTCTCCTATTTGTATGAAAATGAAGGAATCCAAATTATAATATCAATGACCTATTTTATAGTAGGATAGTAACAGAATAATTCACCATAAGCAAATTGGATTATTCTGTGTGAGTACAGTTCCATATAAGGATGGCAAAGTCAGAGATTTACTCCTGTTTCATTCAGATGCAAATGTACAATGGCCACTACCACACTATTACTACCCCAAACAATAGGGCACGCAAATTAAAATAAAAACACTGTAAAGCAAAAACATTAAAGGATCTCATTTGTAGAGGTTATAATTACCTTCTTTTTATATGTAGAGGATTAATTCAAAATGTAGTAGAATTAATGATACCCAAATATAAGAAAAACATACAAAATTAATGGTTTTCATATATCTCAGCATTAATTAATATACATATATTTTAAATACTTATTTTACAACATCCTTACATTTTCTTAAAAACTTTGAATAACGAGGAGAGAGTTATCCAAAATGTCTTTTTTCAGGAGCCTGGGCCTGTGGTGACAGTCACCACAATCAGAGGATGGGTGGTGGGGAATCAGCAGAACCCTAAGACATAATTTAAAATTCTCTGATCTCACCTCAAATTATCCAGTCACCTGGTGCGGTAATGACAGTGCCTGCTTGGGGAGTTGAGAATAACTGGAACGCTTTCTGTCTCTTCTATCAGTTAGCAGAAACAGTGGTGATTAATAATGCTTTTCCAAGAAGCAGGGGAAACATTAGTGAGAGAAACTTTCCTGTGATCTGTGGAGACTGAGAGTCTCCCCGGAGGAGGGCAATAAATAGTGAGATCTGGGTCAGGAGACACTGCAGCCCAAGGAGATAGGCTAAGTGGACCATGTGCTTCCATGATAAGGTTTCTATCCATATTTATTATTGTTATTATTTAAAGATTTTTTTTATTTTTTTAAGATTTTTTTTTTTTTTTTTAATTCATGAGAGTCAGAGAGAGAGAAAGAGGCAGAGGGAGAAGCAGGCTCCCGCGGAGCAGGGAGCCCGATGCGGGGCTCGATCCCAGGACCTGGGACCATGACCTGAGCCAAAGGCGGACGCTTGACGACTGAGCCACCCAGGCGCCCCCAAATTTATTATTAATATTAACGATTCTTCAGACCTCAGAGAAGCATCCTTATTCATGATGTGGGCAGAGAAATAACATCTTACAAAAGAACCAGAAAATGAGTTGTGGACGGATACGGAGCAGAAGGAAGACTGGGAAGGTACAGGTTGGATTTCAAGAAAAGAAAGAGCCTACAAGCACCCAAAGATACTAGAGTGCCTACTTTTAAAAGACCTGGAAGTGACCATTGCCTTTAGTGACAGTAAACTAGCTGACCATGCTGACAGCAGTCCTGCAGGACGTATAGGCCGAAGCCTGTGGGCAGTAGGGGGCAGCCTGCCATGAGACAGGGACAGACCTCAGATACCCACTTTTGCTCTGAAAGGAACAGACATGGGGCGCCTGGGTGGCTCACTCAGTTAAGCGTCTGCCTTTGACTCAGGTCACGGTCCCAGGACCCTGGGATCAAGCCCCGCATCGGGCTCCCAGGGAGCCTGCTTCTCCCTCTCCCTCTGCCTGCTGCTCCCCCTGCTTGTGCTCTTTCTCTCTCTGTCAAATAAATAAATGAAATCTTAAAAAAAAAAAAAAAGGAAAAGACATGAAAACCTCCTTTCCTTTAAGTCCCCCTGTACAACTAACTGAAGTGCACAAGAAGTGGAGACAGAAAAAATGGTCAGCTCTTCAACTCACCAGTCAACATTGTCAATGTAGGAGTCAGAAAATGTCAATCATTTGGGGGTGCCTGGGTGGCTCAGTCGGTTAAGCGACTGCTTTCGGCTCAGGTCATGATCCTGGAGTCCCGGGATCGAGTCCCACATCGGGCTCCCTGCTCGGCGGAGAGTCTGCTTCTCCCTCTGACCCCCTTCCCCCTCGTGCTTTCTGTCTCTCATTCTCTCTCTCTCTGAAATAAATAAATAAAATCTTTAAAAAAAAAAAAAAAAGAAAATGTCAATCATTTGGTTAAAACCTTGCAATGTTCCCTAGCTTTTCTGAGAAAAGGCAAAATCCTTGCAGAGTCCTGGGGAGCCTTGCCAGACTCGGCGCCATGTTGCCTCTCTAAGCTCTTCTCTGACAAGTTCCTTCCGCTCTCCTGGTTCCATATGCACTGTCTGCTGGCTTTGCTGGAACACAACTGCTACCTCTTCCCTCTGCTTTAATCTCACCTCCCCAACTACCCACGTGAGCCTCCCGCCTCATCTCTTTTCAACTCTTGCCTCACGGTAAGGCCTCTCCTTATATCTCATCCCATCCCCACCCCTACCCTACTCTTTCCCCTAACTGGTTTTGTTTTTCTTTTTTAAGATTTTATTTATTTATTTGACAGAGAGCACAAGTAGGGGGAGTGGCAGGCAGAGGGAGAAGCAGGCTCCCCGCTGAGCAAGGACCCCCCCCCCCCCATGCGGGACTCGATCCCAGGATCCTGGGATCATGACCTGAGCCGAAGGCAGATGCTTAACCAACTGGGCCACACAGGAGCCCCTCCCCTAACTGGTGTGCTGGTTTTCTGTCTTTCTTCCATGATCTTTCTCATACACTGAGAATAGTGGGTGACATATTATGTGCTTCACGGATTTGTTGATTGAAACAGTGCCTAAAGTTTTCTCCACTTTCTACAGGTTCATCCCTAACACTCTGGCAGTTCCTTCTCCTTTCCCCCTCATTGTTCTGCTCTTCAAGGTGGTTACTGCACATGGTTCTCTGAAATAAAACGTGATCCTGGTTGGGAGACATAGCCCTCAGGTTGGCCACAAACACAGCTGCTCCTGCCTCAAGTCTCTGGATAAAGTAAGTAGTACTTATTACAGCATACAGAATTTAAACCCTTCTCAAATGTTCTTCTGGGATCATCTGAAGCCCCTATACAGGCATGGTCAGTGCAGTTATAGATGAGATGATAATTACTTCCCAGCAAGGGGGCTGACCTCATGGTGGGCCAAACCATTATCCTTAGGATAAAATGCCCCCTTTTCATTTGTGCTCTGTGACCATGATGGCCGCTGTCCCCCCAAGGAAATGTAATTTGGTGAATAGACCTTCTCTTTAGGCAAAACACAGAAATAAAATATTTACTAGGAAACCTAATACACCTGACACTAATATAGCACTGTATGTTAATTATACTGGAATTAAAAAAGAAAACCTAGTAAATAGTGTGTGGAAATTTAATGATCTTGTTTCTCCGGAGGCTGCAATATGAGCCCTGGTGAGTATGGGTGGGAGGCATATTTTCCAAGCGTTCCTCGAATGTTTAGTCCTCATCTTCCTCTCCAGGGGTGCATGAGATTTAACCTCTGTCTTCTCTCTTAATGCTGTATCTGGAGTCTTCTTCCTAAGTAAATACACTGAACTCAAAGTCTTCATCCTCTCACATGTAAGCAAATGTGAATTCTGTTTTAGAGACTCGATTGTACAGGCAGGAAAGCCAGTCTGTGCCAGTTCAATCTGTGTTTGTTATAGAAATTCTTTAGTATGTAACATATTTATTCTATTAGATCAGATTATGGAAACTTGCTTTAATTTAGTTATATACACATAAGATGCACAATTTATTTAATCACCTTTTAATTTTTCTCCCCCTGCATCAAGGGGTCTGTTTTCAAATCGATAAGTAATTTAGAGCTAGCATTATGCTCACCACACCTGCATTTGCTTAGTACCTGGGGAGTAAAATTATTTTTTCCCCCCTCCATCTTAGGCCTGTGCCCCCTAGAGCGGCACGCTTCCCCCCCGCCCCAGGCTTTGCTCCTGTCTTTGGTTGATAAGCTGAAAGTGGGAGGAGAAAGGGCCCTGGTCTCTCCAGGCAGTAGCCTCCCTTGGTAAGGCCCCAACTGTGGATAATCAGCCCTTTTTTGCCTTTTTTCTTTTTCTTTCTTTTCCCTCTTCTCTTAGCAAAACCTTTTAGAATGGCTCTTATCTGTAGGCAGCTAATTGTTTACCCCCCTCGTGGGCTGTCCACCTGACCATCTCTCCCAGTGGTGTTCTCCCTTTCCAGGGCGTCCCGATCAACCTCAGAGGGGCAGGGACCACGAGCGACCCCAGGAGGGATGAGGGGTGGGGTGGGGGCAGCCAGAACCCTTAGGAGGGGTCGGGGAGGACTGTGCGGGGAACGTGCAGCCTGCCCCCAGAGGGAGGGGTGCAAGTGATCTTCCCCAAGGGCTACTGTGAAGCACTGAGCACCGCCCACGGGTCCCCCTCTCCACCCAGCCCCCCGGGCAGTGCACAGCTGTGCGCCTCCGGGGAGATTCAGGATTCAGTGGCTGGAGACCTGAAATCCCTGTCACCAGAGGCGCACTGAGAAGTATCACTTCACATGCTGGGTGGCTGGGAATCCGGGAGCCAGGGGATAATTACCCCTTCTTGTCAGGATCGCAGCTGGAGAGCGGCATCCCGGGTGCATTGTTGGGATGGGGACAGGGTCTGCACTTTGAGAGGCAGACTTGGCTACACTCGGAAGGAAGGGGCAACACCAAGCAGCTCCGAGCAGGGCACTGAGTACCAAGACAGGGAGCCTTCCCGGATGGTGCAGTTGGCGCAGTAAACAAGCCAGGCAGTAAGTGCTCAGTCAAAGGCATCTCTTGGGGACTTTCCCCAGAGTTCAGAATCATTCCCTCCCCCTGGCCAAATGGAGGAATAATTCCCCTTGTGGAGTCTTTAAGGATCATTCCAACACGGCAGCAGAAATTACACTTGGAGAGGCATATTAAAGAATTGATTAGGGCGCCTGGGTGGCTCAGATGGTTAAGCGTCTGCCTTCAGCTCAGGTCATGATCCCAGGGTCCTGGGATCGAGTCCCGTATCGGGCTCCCTGCTCCTTGGGAGCCTGCTTCTCCCTCTGCCTCTCTCTCTCTCTCTCTCTCTCTCTCTCTCTCTCTGTCTCTCATGAATAAATAAATAAAATCTTAAAAAAAAAAAAAAAAGAATTGATTATACTCACAAGTCCTAGAAGAGGGAGGCCAGATGCAAACTCAGGGGCCAGATGGAGGAGAGCCCAGGAAGCCGGTTCAACCAAGCAGGAGGGGAGCAGAGAGAGACAGACACAGAACAAAGACCAACAGACAGGAGACAGGAGAAAGCAAGAAGGGACACTTGTGGCAGGAGCCAGCCTTATCACACTGGTGCATTGGTCACCTGGTGTTCACAGCCTGTTTGTGGGGATGCTGAAGCATCAGGGACATGGGAAGTTTAAAAATTTTAGCTTACTGAGTGTGTGTGTGTTGTTTGATTGTTTTATCTTATGAATCATGTTGTGTTTGGGTGTCTCTAATAGCATGTCTCTAAAAATAGTGAGTGATAAGCGTGAGACTGAAAACCACCTTCTTCTCTTTTTGTGGGTTCAGGATTCTTTTTATTGTGCCTGTGACATTAGATTTCTAGTAAATATCTGTGGCCGATGCAAAGTAAACTTCATCTCCTATTTAGAGAAATAGAAGTCATGTTAAATAAAAAGTGATACAAAGGTTGCAAAAGTTGGAGAGCAGGAATGACCAGGAGTTGTAGATGGGTTCCATGTGACCCCGACATGTAACCAGATGTAAAAGTGCTTTGATAGACTCTGAACTCAGCACTCGCTTTGGATCTGCTGAATTTGTTGGGATTTCTAAAGCTTTCGCCCCTCTCAGCCTTTGATTAGTGATAACTTAGTCTGTCTAACTGCTTAAGTCCCAGCCAGAAAAACTGGGGTGGGCATTTTCCTATTACTGTCCCTGAGAGATGCACCCAGCTTAATCCCTAATTGTGCCTGCATGAGGAAATGAGTTAGTACTTTATTTGTCCATGAATGACTGCAGTTCTTCAACAGCATGTTAATCTAGAATTCACTGAGATTCACAGAACATTTGTAGACTCCGTTCACCTTTTTTATTTTTAAATTTTTTGATGACTTTTCATCTTACATAAATTGTACACTTTTACATACTCTCATTGAATTAAGTAATTTTTAGCTTCTATTTTTGGCATTGCTTACTAAGTATTTGCCATAACTCTTGGAAGAAATACACACATTTCTAAGTGGTTTATTTATGTGCTCCATACACACTTGTTAGAGCAGTGCGTAGACATGACACCTCATATTCCCTGTTTATGATTACTCTTCCGGCTACTCTAAATGTCCTCTTCAACTGTCTCTCCAAGCTGGGATTGCTCACTGTGCTCATGAATGAAAAAGAAGACAATATCCTCAGAGTGACCAAGCTTCCAACACAGACACATGTTCTCACCTAAATGACTTCTCAAAGTCACTGAGGTCTTAAATTTTTTCACCCTTCCCTGATGTTTCCCAGAGCTTCCTGCCACTATCTTTAAAGAACTACATAAACATTATCAATAACTCTGTCATTTCTATTTCACTACTGTCTTTCTGAGATAATCTGAATTCCCCTTGCAGAACTTTCCCTTCAGTAACAGAAATGATCATCATTTCCCAGCAAACTGATGAGACCATGCAGTTCAGGTGCTTCCTTCCTCTTGAGATTCAGATACCCCCTTAGTATTGGGGTTCAGATGCTCCTTTTGCATTTGTGCTGCAAGTGTGAAAACTGCAGCTACTGTCCCATACCGAAGTAGCATTTGTTGGGGCACCTGGGTGTCTCGGTTAAGCATCTGCCTTCGGCTCAGGTCATGATCGCAGGGTCCTGGGATCACGCCCCCACCTCAGGCTCTCTGCTCATCGGGGAGTCAGCTCCTCCCTCTCACTCTCCCTCTGTGCTCTTCTCTCTCTCTCAAATAAATAAATAAAATATTTTTTTAAAAACAGCATTTGTTTAGTTGCTCTCCATTTGAGATACATGTCAGGTTCCTAAAAGGAGTTGGATATCTTGGAATATGGGGAAAGAAATAGCCTATGGATTAAACTGTTCCTCAGTGGGTAGGACACAATCACAGTATATATAGGCGGGAGAGAGGTTTTCTGTGAGAACCAGAGGCAGAGCTTCACCCTTGTGCAGTTGCTTCAGGGCAGCCCCCACATCCCTCTTCGGATGAACCTGTCTCGAGTCTTTTCCTCTTGTGCCTGACCAAACGTACTAAAACTCACAAAACTCACTTCGACCTCTTGAGGTTTCATGCATGTGAAGAACAATAAATGATGTTTATTAGTTTACAGCTAAGAATGTATATATTTTATGTCGAAATGACTAGGGAATGATACGTCCATTTATATCAGTAGACTTTGGGGACACCGGAAATACTGTTTTTATTCTCTGGGAGCCTGCTGAGCTTCATGGGGTCTGAAATCATGTTTCTAAGACCTTTTGAGCACTTGCCGACAGCACCCCTTATAAATCCGCGGGAATCCCTTAAGGAAGCCTCCGGAACGTCGTGAGACCGTCACAGAACCTCAGAGCCCTTGGGATGGTTCCGGTGGGGAACGCCCTCCCTACCGCCTCTACTACATTACCCAGAGGGTACCGCGCGGAGAAGCTGCGGGTTGAGCCAACGTGAGAGCTCTTCCGTGCGTTTAACAGCGCTTCGGGCGGGACTTCCGGCGTTCTCGTTGCGGCGGTGGTTTTGGGTGTTCCTGGGTTTGTTCCGGCACCGTCAGGCCGGTCCGGGACTCTGGTGACGGGACCGAGAAGGCGCGCGGGGAGGAGCTGTCCCTGCCGCACAGACTTAGGGACACCGCCCGGGCTGCCCCGCGCCGGGGCCGAGACGGGGACGGCCGGTCCGGGTGTCCGCTCCGCACACCGAGTCCGATGGCGGCGGCCGCGCCCAGGGAGCCGCCGCAGGTAAGCGCTCGTCCCCTGGGCCCTCCCCGCCGTCCCCCCACCCAGACCCCGGAGGCCCGAGCGCGGGGCGCCGGCTCGCGGCCCTGCGGCCCAGGCCCCGGCGTCGGACGGGGCGGCGGCGGTGGGCGGGGGCCCCGTGGGCGAGCGCCGGCGTGCCGGCGTGAGGAGCGGGCGCCGGGCCGGGGGGCCTGAGGCGGGAGGAGGCTGCCCGCAGGGGACAGCGCGTGAGGCGGGAG